AACTGTTATGAGAAGTGCTCTTATAATCCGGGGAATGTTAAGTGTTTTTCATGAAATGTGCCAAAGCAATCGAGAAAAACTGTAAACTAAGTCTTTTAGCTATACGCATGAATAAATGAAAAAAAAGTTACTGTATTAAAATATATCGATAGACTTTGACTTGTAAAATGAATTTTAAAATGAATGTTATTTTAAAACGAATTATCAAAAGGTAATTTATTCATTCATATTAGCCATATGTAAACAGACAGACAGACACAGATAGATAGATAGATAGATAGATAGATAGATAGATAGATAGATAGATAGATAGATAGATAGAGTATTCTTCATTAGCAAACACATTGGAAATCTGGGATATGAATGGGGCTACTAACTGAATACAGACTAAACTCATAGTTCCAATGTTTGTCTCCACTTTGGTTTGTACACTGCAAGGCCACTCTCACGGGTAGCATTTCTCGCACGCATTCCTTTTTCCTTTACCATAGTATTCAGCACTTCGGTACAAATACATTTTGTGGGAACAACCCTTGCAACATTAACAAATACTGGCGTCTTTCTTGAGTCATTTGCAAAAACTGCATTTCCCAGAAGCGCTCACAATCTAAATTGTGGCACAACTGAAACAAGTCGCCCCTGAGCGAAAGAGTCTCTGCGTGCCATTGGTGAGCAACCTCCAGCATTTCCACTCTGCTATATCTGTCGTAGAGATTTATTTCCAAGGGTTACCATGAATCCTAGCGATAGGGCAGGACGTCTACATGGGCCTTTAATGCCCCCCAAAGGTATGTGTGATAACCGCCTGACAGAAAGATGAGATTGATGCATTTTTGTCTGGAATCCTGACGTTAAAACTGCATTGACAATAATTCTCCACTATGTAGTGTAAATGAGGTTAGGAATTTTCACCTGTTCACCAGTCTTGTGCTTACAATACTTAGCTCAACTTAGATAATATAATCTTCTTTTTAAAAAGTCACAGTTATAGCTAGATATTTTTATAAAGATAATATAATCTTCTTTTTAAAAAGTCACAGTTATAGCTAGACATTTATATAAAGATAATATAATCTTCTTTTTAAAACGTCACAGTTATAGCTAGATATTTATATAATTATCATCTTAATGGGTGCGTCTTACAGTTATTCTTTATGTCATATCTTTATATCATATGACCCTCTGTTAAATACAGAACTTATAATCACAAAGTTGTGATGCAGTTCCTCGTTTACGCAGCCATGTGATGCAGTTCCTCGTTTACGCAGCCATGTGATGCAGTTCCTCATTTACGCAGCCATGTGATGCAATTTACGCAGCCATGTGATGCAGTTCCTCATTTACGCAGCCATGTGATGCAATTTACGCAGCCATGTGATGCAGTTCCTCGTTTACGCAGCCACGA